AAGCCTAGAAGATCATTCAAGGTTTCTCTTTGGACTTAAGCTGTTATTCCACTCTTATTTTTAGTACAATAGAAGAAAAGAAAAAAAACAGACCTAACATTGAACTTGGCAGTTTAAAAAGTCTGTTTGTAATCAACTGAAAAGTTGTTTGTTATTAAAGGCTTAAAGGCGCTGTTTTTCAACTGGGACCTCCTAAGTCCAGGTAATTGTGCAACCTTTTGTCAGAATAATCTTTTTACTAACTATTTGGAAGGGAAAATAAACAAATTAACTGTGGCTCAAGAGTCAGTATAGTAAGCACCAACAGCAAATGTTGGTACTTCACATTTTCAAAACTCCTACTATGATCTGTTGAGGTGGACAGTGAAGCAGCCAGTGGTAGCGGCTGATGCTGTTTACCTTAAACCAGGAACGTAATCTGGGAAATATCAAATCAAAGCCCAGTGTTTTGACTTTCAGTTTGGAAAATTTGAGGCATTAGATATAGATGATTAAGGTATAAACAATTCACAAAAAAACCTAATAAATATTTATCACAAAACAGGCTGAAGTTGGAAGCAACCGTACTTTCACTTAGTAAATGAACAAAAGTACGGCCAACTCAAGCCAGTCTTGTGGAACCCGGATAACTGAGAATGTACACAGCCATCTAATATTTATGTATTTTCACTGTAGTGATGTTTGACATTATATCAGATCATATAATCTGAAAAGCAATCACAATGCTTTTTTTCCCCTAAAGAAATCATCAAGCTTAATATACAAAACGGACATTTCAGATTTTTGAGGTTGAGAATCTACATTTTGCCTTCTAGGTACCAATCTGTTTATTTTTCCAACTTTAAACCTGGATATGTGACCTTATGGGTGAAAATCGAGCCAAAATAAACTAAAATCCAATAACTACTAAAACATTGTAGAAATAGAATATATATATATATATATATATATATATATATATATATATATATATATATATATATATATATATATATATATATATATATATATATTAGTGCTGTCAGTCGATTAAATTTTTTTAATCGCGATTAATCGCATCAATGCCTGAGTTAACTCACGATTAATCGCATTTTAATCGCACATTTTTTTCCTGATTGAAAATCATTTAAATACTCTCGATGACATACAAAAAAAATACATACAGGCTAGGTTTGTGCCAATGTTCTTTTTTTAAAATGAAAACAGGTCACAGATACTGATTTATGCCAAAAATAACAAATATGTAGGCAAAAAAAGGCCCTGAAAACAGGCTGATGTAAAAGTCCTTACAGTTAATACAGTCTTTTGAACAAAGACAAGCATTTTACCCTACTGCTATAAAATTTAGTAGAGTTAACATTAGATGTTAATTAACCAAGATAATAATGAACAATTTTCAATCAATACATCAAAATCAATAGACCGACATCACTAGATGAAGGTAGTCTATGCTCTAGAAAGTTACTTTTCAGCCTCTTAACAAAAATGAGAACACACACACAAGCACCCACACACACACAGACACACACGATACCGACCTGTGGCGTACACAGACGGCAAGAATGCCGTAGCAGATTCCATTTCACCTCAGTAATCTGTTTTCTCAGCGTATTTCAGGTTGCTACTAGTTACCAGACACTCAACTTGTTTGTTGGTGGTGGGGCTTAAAGAACAGGCACTAGCGTCACCCAGTGTATCAGCGTCTTTTTCCCTTGAGGAGCTCCGCTCTCGAAGCCTATGAGAAATGCATACACTGGGGGAAAATAGCCCCGCCTTCCCGCAGGCTGCAGCGGGATGTACTTGGAAAATTGTACCATAAAACCACATAGCGTTAATCTCACGTTAAAAAAATTATCGCCGTTAAAATGGCCTCGCGTTAACGCGATAATAACGCGATAATTTTGACAGCACTAATATATATATATTTTGTGATAATTTGAGACAACATAAATCCAGAAGTTTAAAATCCTCCAATTTAAAATCCTCAAGCAAAGAGTAATAAATGGCAAAAAACATTGCTTTGCTGGGGTCCACGTTGTTATAGAAGGCTAAAAAATCTCCAGCTATAGACTTCAGATAAAATGTGTTCTTTGCTTTAACTGTTACATGTCAACAGAACACAGTATCCCTTAAGATTAGGATAATTTTATTGCATGAAAAATATTGTCTCTATTGTGCACAAAGCAGCGAAAGTCCAAAGAAAGAGCTCCAAATGTCTTAGAAGTGTCTAGTGTCTGTAGAGACATTGCTTTAATACTAAAAATAATAATGGATAACTCAATAGTTTTGCTCAGTACTGTAGACTGTAACCCAGTTTATTTTAACAAGTGACATACAGGGACTTCTGCAGCATATTATCACCTCCTTGACTGAGGGTGAGCCTTATTCTGGACCACCCCCCTTCGGACGACCTGTGCCACTTTTAAGTCGACAATGTTTGTCTGAGCTCTTGTTTGGCTGCCTGTCCTCTGCACTCACTGGTACAGCCAGAGCAGTAAGAAGACGGGGTCAGGAGTCAGGGTGACTCCTCCTCCTTGTCTGTTCAGTCTGAGGGGAAATAAAAGGTTGCTCACCGAGGTATGACTGTCTGCCTTATTAATGAGGGCCATCTGGGGAGATGGACTAAGTGCAGAGAGAAACTGAGCTAACATAGAAGGTCTGCTTTAACACAAACCGAGGGCTACAAATGCAAAACATCACTATAATCTGAAAACCTTTGTAAACGTTCATCTCAGACATATCAGTTATTATTTAGCGGATCATGTTTCTCTGAAAGTGTCAGACAGTAGATTGTGTCTGATACTTCTATGAACTCCATTACAGCATTCAGATCGTACTTTAACTACAGGCCTGGAAAGATTAACCGTTGAGGCTTCAGGACTGTTTGCAGAAACCATTACTACTGAATTTTTGTGCGATAAATCAAAGCTGTGCACAGTTCAGAGTGAGTAAATGGAGAATTAAAGCCACCTGAAGCACATTCCCTTCAATTTTTCCCTTTGCTGACTGACGTCTGGTTTCTATTGAATTAGAAAAATGTAAACACCCACCACTAACTTGCAAAGAAGAGCCCACCAATACTGCTGCTGATGCTGCTAATTCAAAATAATATAACTACCTAAATCACTTTAGCTTCCAACAGACTTTGTAGTATCCAGAATCTGTGAGTTAATTCAAACATCCCATATACACTAGACTACTAATAAAATAAAATGCAACTGGATTCGAGATATTATAAAATCCTCTTAAATAAAAGCTTTGTGCACTGCAAAAACGATCTAAAAATAAGTCAACATTTCTTAAAGTTAGTGTATTTACCTTTAAGTTGAGCAGGTAGATAAGATGATTAGCCAATGGAATAAGTATATTAACTCTAAAAAAATAAATAATTACATAATATGCACTTGAAATAAGACAATGCATTTGTTTTTCTTATTTTAAATGTAAATTGTCTTGTTCCATAGGCGACGTGTCACACTGTCTTCCTCAATTCAAGAAAAATGCACTTATCTGAAGTAAAAATGACTTATTTAGATAACATTTTTTTGCAGTATGAGAATCAAGGTTTTGTGAAATGATTATTAGTATTCAATATCCTATTTGAGGAAGGCAGGACTTCTCACTAACTGAGGTATTATTAGTTTAAGGTTGTGATCCAACTGTTTTATTTTCTTCTCTACCTGTTTTTATCATGCTTTTTTAAACTTGCTTTTATCCTTCTTTTTTGCTTTCCAATTTATTTGTTTTACACAAAATTGTATGCTATTATTTTCTTCTATTCTATTATCTAATTCATGTAAAGCACTTTGAATTGTCCATGTAATGAATTGTGGTATTCCAATAACATTGCCTTGCCTCACCAGAAACTAAAGCAAGCAGGAGATCAGGCTGGTTTTACAATTCCAATCACCAATGAGATGTTGGTGTTATTTATACCAAGAGGCAGACATTCCTCTGTACAAGTTGCCATTTTGAAGAAAGACCCAGAAAAGAGAAATGAGGCATTCAAACATGCACAGGGGCACATAAGTCAAACTTGCCAGTCAACCTAACATGTAATATTCTGCAGCATTAGTGGAAGGTACAGTTCCAGGAGATAAAAACATGCAAGTTTCCCTTAGTCGATTAAAGATTTAATGGTCAGGCCATCGTGTCACCAGCATGATCTCTATGCAGCAAAAGATGTTGACCTTATCCCACCCGTTTTAAATATCATGCAAGAGTAATGCAGAGGAAACATTAATAATGTCGCCCTTGCTTGAACTGAGGCTTGAATCCTTAAAATCATTGATAACTCAGCAAAACCTGACTTCAGAAATAAAAACCCAACTACAATCTAGACCAATTTTATGACAAAAACTTTTCTTTCAGATTTTTCCCCCTTCTTATGGTAAATCTCAAACGTCATTTCAATATCTACATGATAAAGTAAGCAAAAAGAGCACAAAAGAGACAGAATTCAGCTTGAATCCCCAATTGAAGTTTGAGCAAAATGTAAAAGCAGAATCTTGCCTCCTGCTCTCATTGAATATTTCCTCTTTTTTTATGTCTCTAATTATTCTGCCAGTTTGTGCTCTAAGTGCAGCTAAGCTTTTTTTCTGCATAACCACTGCCAATGGGGAAGAGCTGCAAAGATGATAACTGAAGAGTGTGTGTGAAGCCAGCTGTGCTTTTGGACCCAATAAGGCGAGCGAGAAGGATCTCATGATTGTTCTGTGTGTGGATAGCTGTGTGTCCATGAATGGCAAAGGGGAGGAAGAGCGCACTTTAGAGCAAACACATACATTAAACACGCATACAAAGAGTGCTCATAACAACTGTGTTCCCTGCCAGCAGTGAGACTATAGAAAATGTGCTTTCTGACAGGCAAAAAAACTGTAGTTTTTAGTTGTGTGTACAGGGTGTGCCTCTGGTCCTGGGGCCGTGTAAACACACCGCAGGCGGCAGAAAAGGCGCTCAGAAAGGCTCAGATAGACATCAAAGACAGCAGAAAGGAGGAAGGAAGGAAAGTAGGAAGCATTATTATTCTACTAGCACAGGTTAATAGGGATACCAAAGATAGTATTGCATTATCTAGAACTAGCTTCAATTGCTCAGTGTATATAAAACTGGAAGAAAGCTATGCTGTGATGTTACAGTTACATTTCACTTTATAATTCTAAAATATTTTATAACAATAATTAGACTTTATAGAGTATTTACATAAATACATCATTATATATTACTGTTATAATCATCAACACATCATTATAGAAATACACCATCGGTATATGTGTATATAGTCATGTTATAGTCACACACATACACTGAATATACAATCAGAATCAGCTATTGCAATGCTGTGTTGAGTAAACCTCTGTGGGACATTCACATCTTCTCAAGTAGCTTAAAGAGACGAGTTCGGATGTATTGCTATACGAAAAGACCAAAGTTCAGCCTATTCTTTCACGTTTCTCGTAAAATCCGAGTATTGCTTTGCGTAATATTTGCTCTCCTCTGAGGAGGATAATCTGGGAGGAGAGAGAAACAAAAAGCGGCGTCTCTCAGTCAGCAGGTTAAGATCGTTTCCTTGATTGAATCAAAACTGCTGGAGTCTGTGAGCGAACTGTTCCATCAACCTGCACAGAATAAAAGGCGACCTCGCTCGGACCGACAGACAGACAAACAGGTGGACGAGTGTGTAGCCAGGTATCCATTGGTAGAGACAAAAAAAAGAAAGAAAAAAAAAACGTGAGGAGTGCCCCCAACAGCTTCCTGTCTTCAGAAGTCAGAGAAAAGATCCTGCGGACCGAGGTGAATAATAAAAGGAGCGATGGTACGCGGCTGGTAGAAAGGATTGTCAATGAACAGACCACCTGCAGTAATAAAGAGCAGAGAGAAAGAGGGATGCACTGATTAGTAGAAGATCAAACACTTCTCTAATCCTAAGTTATTATTTAATAAAGGATAGATATTAGCTATCAAACATGTTTAGTTGTAAAATATATCATTTCAAAGCCTATAATTTCAAATTTAAACAACAAATAGGCATACAACAACAATTCTATACCAAAAAAATAAGAAAAAAGAACGGACAAAAAACAAAAAAAAAACAACAACAAAAAAAAAAAAAAAAAATGTGAATCTACAAATCAAAGCATAACCACACAGAAGAAATGTTGAATGAGGCACTGTTTTTCGTTTCCACCTTAAATCTTGATGATGCTTTCTTATCCAGCCATGTTTTTAAATGCACATATACATTTTTTTTTATTAAAGCGTCATAAAGAACTGAAACAAATTTCAAATCTTACAGAAAATGCGTATCATTCTTGCAGCAACTCTGTTACATATGTTTATTAGAATAAAGGGTGTAAAATTAAAGGAAAATTGCTCTGTAAGTTGCTTAGCTAATACCTACTTTGCCTCAGTTCTTTTAAGTACTTTATATCTGCCTAATCATTTTCAATTTTAGGTTTGATGCGAAGTCTAAAGCTACGTTCACACAGCAGCCTGAAGTAACACAAATCCCATTTTTTTTTGCCCATATGCGACCTGCCTAATCTTTTCATTACAGTCTGAACAACATAGATCAGTTTTTTTCTAATGTGACCCAGGCTGCTGGGCTATGTGGTCCTAAATCCTATACAAATCTGATATTTTCAAACGTTACCTGTGTCTGAACGGCCAGGTCGCATTCATCCCACCTGGCCGTTATTAAAACTCAACAAAGGTCCCTGTTCTGGTTCTTGTAACGCAGGACGAGGGAGAAAAACATATATGGCAGACGATAATATGGATAGCAGTCTTTTTTTATCTTGAAAAGAATGATTCGTTGAGGCGCTGGCTACGAAAGAAAGAAATGGAAGATCGCTAGATCCGCTCCAGCACTACCATTGCTACCTTCACATGCCTGTAGTGTGAACGTAGCCTAAGAGAACCAAGGACTTACTAAATTAATTATCTAGGCAACAGGCTTATAATTGGTATAAACCACTTTTAGCATTTAGCATACAGAGCTAAGTAAATCTCCCAAGTTCTATGGTAACCAGAGATGATCTCATAAATTGGGCAGAAGACAGAAATTACACAAACGTTTTTGCTCTTCTGTCCACATTCCTATCTGCACAATCTTTTGGACAGCTCTACTAAAACCGAGCCATAAACAGAAACATAAAAAAACAATGTTAATTTGCAAAGTTTAATCACACCCTAAATCTTTATGAGGACAGACAGAGTGTCTGCATGGTTTAGCAAGGGAATAGATATTGTTCTGATATTGCTTCAATATGTGCAATGCAGTGGAGCAAAAAAATGTGGAACATTTACATTTAACTGTAGGAGCCTTGCATTGCTGGGAGTATAGATTTCAATTCAGAGGCAAAGATTCTTTTTTTCCTCTCTTATGCAGCTGCAGGAGCGGGGATAGATAGCAAGTCTCCTCTGCTCGACCATGCACCTCTGGGCCAGACCTGCTGTGGATAAGTGCTAGCTATGGATTTCACTGTTCTCGGACCAACGTTTCAACTGTGTTGATTGGGATCAGGTCTGGTTGGGCTTTATGCCTGTAGATCTGGGTAATGGAAGTCTACAGTAGATGTACAGTATTGGGCCTGAACTATAATCTAATGAAAGTATGCTAACCAAAGTGGCAGATATACAACAAGCAATTCTGGAAAAAATATTTTTCCTCATCCAACAGTGTGATGGAGGCATCAGTCACATTTAGATCTGGTCTATTTTCTGAAAACATGAGTTGTTTGATATTTACTTATAAACTAAAAGCATTTTTTTTTAAATATTCACTGTTATTCTTTATGTTTACAGAAGAAAAGCACTATTCTAAAATTATGGTATATTCTTATGATATGTTAACTATTTTACCTTAACTCTAATGTGCTCCATCGTTAAGCAAGGTCAGTTCTAAATGATTCTAAGTTCAGCAAATCATGCTAGAATATATTAATCAATTATGAATATTTGCAGGACTCCTAGGGCATTAATGCAAAAATGTTATTCTCTTTTGTACAACAGTTCGCAGTTCACACTGTGAATTCTTTTTTTAAATTTTCAATAGATATTTACACAGAGCGGCTTTTAACATTGAATGAGCAAAAAAAAAAATAATAATAATAATTTTCACAAACACAGGTCAAGAGTGAGGAAAGAACTGAATTAACAAAATAGCAAAAAATGTAGGTATCAGGATAAAGAACAAAATGTGGAAATACAAATATGTTCTATATTTTTCCAGTATTTTTCTATACTTAACCAGACCTGTGAAAAAGAAAAAAACAGATGTCAAACTACAAACACATCCACTCAGTATAGGAAGCCTGATATTTTTCTAAATATGTTTTGTTTTTATTTTCAAATTTAGACAGCCATTTCTTGAATATCCTGTAGGAGGTAAGGAATAAAATAAGATTCACATCTGAGGCTTGCAGCTTAACCACAAACTGGGTGGTTCTTCTGGACAGAGTTCCCTGAAATCCAACCTAAAACAATTGGAAAGCAGACCAACCTCTGGTAAAGTTTGGATGACAATGATTTGTACTTTTATGGAGCTTAAACCAACCATTGGACAAGACTATCCAATAGTAACTGTTGGGTGGTAATAATGGAGGCGTTGTCATAGTTTGGTTCTCTCTCTCTGGCTTGATGAACCAGATGTCAACAAAACCGTTTCTTCACTGGTGACTTTGATTTAAATTTATTTTTGATGTTAGATCATCTCCCAGTTACATTATTTTTAAATGAAGTGGGTTAATATATTTAAATAATAAACATACAGAACGAACCAAAAAAACAACAACAGAAACAGAGACAGCGAAATGTGGCCCATTATTTGCATTTACATAAAATTCAGATGGCTTCATGTCAACTAGGAAAAAAAATGTCTAAGCAGGATAAATATATTTCTGAACCTGTGCAAAAATATAAAGTAAATGATATAAACCACAAAAAAACAGCAAATATTTTTGTCTTGTGGCAGCAAATGAAAACTTCCCAAATAATGGTGAGATTGTGCAGACGATTGCAGATCACCCAGCTTTTTAAATTCATTAATTGTCTCACTCCTTTTTTCTCCAAAGGTCTATGAGCAGCAGGTCAAAGGATGTATTGAGCAGAGGTGATTTACATAAAAAGACTAACGTCACATTTTGAGACTAGAATTCAAACCTTCTTATTCAAAGATTTAGAGCTGGAAACCTTCTGTTAAGGAAAAAATTTGGTGAATGGATATTTATTGTGAAGTAAAAATGCTCTAATGAGTATTAATTTAATGTGTTGCCTCTCCATCAGCTGAAAGCCTTCAGATTAGATATAGAACAGGCACTGTTCAGCTTTCATTTGAGATTCACTTTATTACATTTTCAGCATCTTAGATACACTCCTATACATCCTTCACACAGTTCACATTCCTACCTCCTTTATACACAGAAAATGTGACTTAATGTGAAGTTATTTTAAAGGATATCCTCTTAGCAAAGAACAACAAAAATAATAAAAAGCTCTTACAGGTATTCATATATAATTTAGACTGAAGTAACAATTCACAGTACAAATCCTTCAAGTTTTATTTCATTTAAGAGCCTGCAGATTTTAAGTTTAAAAAGTTTAAACAGTAATAAAACAAACAGACAAAATAAAACTCATACAAATATTGATTTTTAAACCAGATCCCATTATAGAAGGAGTAAAAAAAGGAAAAAAAAAAATAAAGCAAATACAAAAAAGCCAAACAGACCGATTTTCCCTTCTACAAAAAAAAGCTGGCTGGATTTGGTATGTGTGCCTCCTTTGCTAAAAGAAGTGGTAGTGGGGGACGGGGTAGGCGGGCACTTTCATGACAGGCAACAGAAGCATTCTCTTGGGCAAACCTAGAAGGGAGACATGAGAAGAGCATAGCTCTGCATGAGTGTGGGAAAACAAAAAAAAAAAAAAAGAAAGAAGAGAGTCTGTATGCTCACTGTAGCACACACTATGCAGTGGGTATGCTCGACAAACAGCTGGCAGCTCAGAAGCAGTCCTCCCAGATGGAGGGGGTGTCAGGGTGTGAAAGCAGGGAGGAATGTTTGTGCACAAGGTGACAGAGCTCATTAGTGGTTAAACGAGCCAAGAGAAAGAGAGGAGTTCAATGGAAGGAAAAGAATAGACCTGACTTTGACACTTATGTTAAATTTAAATCTGATCAATTATTTTACCATTGTTGAGATCTTCAACTTGATACCTTGTGTCCCCTTTTAAAAAAGGGATTATTAGTTTTTTTTTGTTATTTCCAAGTTACACAGGATTAGTAGGTTTTAATAAGTTTAATAAGATGCCACAAGTAGTTAAGAAAAATGTCCTCATATGAGGACGATTACATTATCTTTGTATTGGTTTTTATTTTGTGCAGTTTATCCTATACACAAAATTTCAGCTTTCTACTATCAGCAGTTCTCTCAATAAGCAATTTGTCAGGTTTTATATTCCCAAATGACAAAATAAAGACACGATTGGCTGAAACATATAAATCTAGTTTATTTCAGACATTGGGGCATAAAACAAACTAATAAGAAGGGAGTATTTCAGGCAAATAGGAAGGCTACCCAAATATATAGACAGCAAAGTAAGAGAAAACCTCTGCAAGATAAGCAGCAAAAGTCTGCTTATCTAAAACAGACTTACTGGTCTTCACTTGTTGCTGCATGCCGTCAGTCAGCTGTGCATGGAGGCTTGAAGCAAACCTTGTTCGATTAATTCGCTGATAGCAAAAAAAGCTGAGTATTGGTTTATAACTGATAAGTTTAATTAGATTAATCGTGATTAATCGATTATTGAAATAATTATCAGCTAATTTAGTAATCGATAAATCGTTAACTGGAGTATAGAGACTGTAAAACATGCCTTTAGCTGACAGAGCGACACTTAGAGCAGGAATTAAACCAAAAATAAAATAAAAAATACATACCGGTATATAAAAATTTGGAAGATAAAAACTGATTTTCTTCTTTCAATATGCTCTACCTAGAACTCCTCAAGTGGAAAAGTTTTAGTTTCACCTGGTTTAATTAATGTAAAAATTCTTCTTTAAGGAACCTTTGATTATCCGATTATTCATAGAAAAAAATAGATTAATTGATTTGCAAAATAATTGTTAGTAGCATTATGTTCATTGTTTACATTTCTTTAAGATAATTTACCAGTTTAAGATAAAGATGAGGTCAGTTCTGCATTATTAGTGGGAGCTGAAGGAATGCAGGCTGAAGTCATAAAGTAGATCTCAATGTTATATAAAAAAGGCTTAATTACAGATCTCCACAATGTTAGAATCTAAAAGCCAAAAAAATACATTGTGAGAAATGATTAAATTAGAGGAAAAAAGATAAATTAAAAGCAAAGAACACCTTTGTCATTTCATGAAATCCAGCAATAATGATAATTCCCTCTGTACAGTGAATATGTACATAGTATTTATTAGGATTTTAAATGGTCTAAAAATCCCAAAGCTGGAAAGCAAAGCAAGGAGAGGAATAAATGAAAACAAGACAAAAATAAAACAATTAAGATTCCATTGTTTTAAGAGTTGTACCAAAACTATTTTAAAATAAAACCTTTTGATTAAAGCACCTATAATTCTTACTTTATTTTGTTTATTTAAATACAAACCAACCATTAAAGGCCTAGCGAGTAAAAAACTTTTCAAATTGAAAGCATGCCATTATACACCTCACTATGCAAATCAATAACTGTAATGCATTTTTTTCTTTAGTGGTTTACAGGATTATACAGTTTAACGTAGCTTTCTGGGATGGTGTAGAAGAAAACCTTAAATAAATAAAAAAAAAATGTACCAAAAAAAAGGTGATATTTGTTTTTGTTTTTTTTAAATACCATTTATATAAAGTGTTATACGTGATACATGAAATATAAATAGGAAAAAGTTCGACTTATTGAATATAATCTTTGCATTCATTACTTTTTTTTATTATCTTTGCAATTTTTGTGTATAAATGTAAAACCCTACACAGCATTAAAAGCAACATGTGTCACATGTGTACCTAAAACCAAACAAAAAAACAAGACCCAGCTGTCACAATAACACGTACAAACTGTGTAAATTTCAGGGAAAATGATCCACTCTCCACAGGAATCCTGCATCCCTCCCTCTAATGCAAACACAAAAACTGAGGACCGCTTCATGATCGGGGCTGCTGGATTCTCAAGAGAGCCTACTGAATATAGCGTCCAGTTTCCCTCAGCACATAGAAGCCATTAAGACTCCAGGCTGTGAGAAGGACAGAGTGGCCTCCCAATGCTACATGAGTGTACACAAGCTCAACAAGGCCGAGTCTGTTGAGGTAAGCACCACTGCTTCAATGCTTACGGTGGAAAAGATCAACAGAGCTTCATAAATGTGTCTTTTAAATGTTGAGTTTGTCAGAAGAGCCAAGTGACCAGCAATGAAAACAAGAACTCTCTGTAATCTGCTAATAATAATAGCAAAAAAGAAAAACTTCAGTTTTTGTGTTAAAATATATTAGTTTTACAAAGTTAATTTCTGCTAAACTTGAGTTTTATCAAATAAAAATTAAGTTTTGTGAAATTTGAAATCAGAGCATTAAGTAGGCACTAGAAATGTAGAGCAGGACAACAACCAACAGCACAAATAGATCCATTGCAGGAAAAGCCCAGAATTAAAGCTCTGCATATTAAACAAGGTTACATTTACAGTTGGAGTTTATTTTAAAGGTGAAAAGAAGAGTTGAAGTGTTGGCAGATGTAACACCCAGCCCTGCACTCATTTCTCTAGCCAGACGTAGTTAGGTAGGGATGGAGGCAGCACATGGGGGTAAAATGGAGGTGAGAAGAGGCAACAAGAAGCACGTACCGTATGCAGGAGCAGCTGCTGCAGCGGGGCTGTATCCATACGGCGTGCCGAAGCCTGTTGACGAGAGGTTAGAGGGTTTATTTCACTCCATTACTGGTTTGATTCCCAGCTAAACCTCCCACCGTGCTCGAGCCCAAACTTTGAAACAGACATTGATGTTGTTTTACTACAAAGTTCACTACTGCAGAGTTGCATCGCGTTGTTACATGTTTCAAAGTTTCAGAGGTATCCGTAGAGAAATGCAACATTTTTGAAAGGCATCAATATTTATGGTGCTAAATCTTTTTGCCAAGGCTCTTGCGAGTCACCTTGGCATACTGTGCATTAGTTTCAAGGCCAAATTCTGACTGTGACCTTTTCTTCATTCAGTGCTCGGAAGTTGTCACTTGCTTCTTGAGAGCTGATCACAAGGGGAAAGCCCTGTTCATAGACATGAAATGTCAGGTTCTGATCCCCAGCAGCTTCTTTATCACTTCTGCTGTGACCCTGTGTGGCTCATTACTAAACTGCTCTGGGAAAAGTTTCTCCTAGAGGATTTATTGATTCAGTTCATAATAAATAGCTGTTTTTAGGAAAAAGAAGTGACTCAAATCCCCTGAAGAGTAGCAAACTCAACTGAATGGTCTCAGGATGCTTCACTGTATGCATGACACAGGACTCATAGCAAGACTCAAGCGTCTACAGGTTTCCAAAATGGCCTGAAGGTGGCTTTAATAGACGAAATAACCCCAAACACTGCTGAAAGCAAGTCTCACTGAGCCTGAATACCTGCCGGCATTCCTGAGCAAGCTCTGCTCTGGTGGCAATCCTATAACAAAGTTTCCTGACAGCTCCTGGCCCTCTTAAGCTGTTTTCACAGTCACTGGTTTCAATTCTTATTTATTAGTTGATTTTGGTCCAATATCAATAGTAGGAAGATGCTTGCATGAAAGCCAATTGATGCAAAATGATATTAATGAGACATTCTGAAGAAAGAAGAATGTTGCCAAACACCACCGGCTTTTATTTGTTTGTTCTCATTAAGCAGGATTGATGGAGTGATATCAGCAGCTGGGTTCTCATTAACACTTTGCCCTGAGCTAAAGATAAGTTCAAAAATAAAACTAAGAGGTCATTTGTGGGTTGCAGTTCACCAAAACAGTCTTCAAAGCAATCCCCATAAAAACTAGAGAAATAAAGTTTGTTGAAAATAGCCTATTTAGTCTCAAAACTTTTGACAGTGAATAAAGTAGGCAGCGGCAGCAAGCGGATGTGGTTTTATTAAAAAAACAAAACAAAACCCCCCCCGAAAAAACATGATCAACAAGATGAGGTCATGAGGAGTTTGAGCGCTGGAATAAATAAGATAGAAAAAAGTAATTATAGAGATATAAAAAAATAAAGTAACTACAAATAACTAATCAGATGGGGGGGGGATTACAGAGGAGCATGACCCATGTCTGGGATTTTTCAGACAAAACTAAAAAAACATTTTTTTATTTATTTATATTATTTGGTTTTAATAGAACTAAACACTAGTAGGAAACTAGCATGACAAATGTAAGAAATATTATGAAATGCTTTACCAGTCGGTAATCATCTACAGGAGATATGGATCAAATAGAAAAATGAGTGGAAAGGCAACATTCCTGAGTCTGTTTACAAAGTATTTCAGTACTTTCCCCTTAATTCCTAACCTGGAGTGACGTATCCAGGTGCAGCAGCACTGACGAAGGCTCCTCTTGCCAGCGCCGCTCTTCCTCTTCCTCTTGCTACCTGTGCTGCTACTGCCGAGGCTGCTGCTGCTGCTGCCAGTTGTCCTTTAGTCTTGAAATAAAAGTAAACCATGTATGAGTGCTATACATGTCAGGTCAGATCAACCTAGATATGACAGTTAACAATACAACACAAATACAGCTTCAAATGTATCCTTTTTATATCTATTTTTTATGATTATGTAGTAATAGATCAACAAAAGTAGTGATTAACTGTGCATCGAATAGAACATTTTAAATGGATTACCAAAACGTTAAAATTCAAGCAGGTTTCGGTTATAAAACAAAGCTCTGATCATCCCACAGAGTGCTGTTTACTGCATTATCTTCAAATTAAAAGAGAATGACACAACTGTAACGACACCCACTTAAAATGACAACTAGAAGACACGAATTGGTTCTGCACTTCATAAAACTGGTCTTTATGGAAAATTGGAAGGACGTTTTTGAAAGAAAAAAAGACATACAACGCATTCTGTTAAAGTTTGTCATGGGAAACAAATATATCTAAGAAGGTGCTCTGATCAGATGAGATGAAATTTTAACAGTTTAGCCAACAGGCAACATGATTTCTGTCTGCAGTGGACATTCACTTTACACACCGTGCCCATGGTTTAACATGGTGGTGGCAGCATCATGCTGTGGGAAATTTTGTTTAACAGGGACAATAAAGCTGGTCACAATCTATTCAAGATGTATGGATCTCAATACAGGCCAGTCTTGGAAAACATTGCTGCAGAGGATTTAAGACTAAGGCAGAGATTGACTGTCCAGAGTCCTGTGTTGGTCAATTACACGAAATCCCAATAAACAACACTCAACTTTGTCATAATGAAAGAAATAAAAAAGACAAATGTTCATGGAGTATAAATACTTTTGCAAGGCGCTTCATAAATAAGCAGCAAACAGGCTCAAATAGAGAAAGTAGAAGTATTGATCTGCTTAACTTGTGAAAACACATCAAACCGTTCTATTGATTCCAGTTGGCTCAAATGCACAGGAAAACAGTCTTGTCTTGTTTACATGTCATCATCTCTGCTTTTTTTTGTCGATTCATATTGAACAGGTTGCCCTCAGAGTCTGGTATGTAGTAAATGCATGTCTCATTACCGGGGGCAGGATCTTTTTCTTCTTGTTTGCAGCGGCGTTGGGACCGGAGAAGAGTTTTTCCAGGGCTGCGAGAGCAGCGCTGGCCTTTGCTACTTTTTTGTTAGGGCCTGCCCCACGAAACTTCTGCCCGTCGACCTCCACCTTTTGGACAAAAACACACAGACAGTCCTCAGATTGTTAGGAGAAAACGTGTTTAAAGTTACTTTCACATAAAAGAAACACAACTTTCCAACTATTTGATTTAGGTGGTCTAGTCTTACTCTGTTGAATTCCTTCTTTTTGTGTCAATTTAAACTGCTAAAGCAACTACATTTGTACATTTGTCATCAGTGACTTGGCTTGTAAGAGTTGCTGTGCAGACAGCTTGTTTTGTGATGCCCCACTCTCAAGTCGACCTGCTAATCAATCAGCAGAGCGATGGAGCAGCCATGCGTGTTGGAAAACAACCCACCCCACAGAGAACAGGGCGGCCTGAGGAACCAGGCTGACTGATTGGGGTTGTCGGCTGATCAGCCTGCCTCTGAATGTGTGTTTCAGCCCCGCTCGAGTCTTCCTAAGCTCTGTGAGTACATAAAAGACTAAAACCCTTTTGCGTATGTCTTAGTCCGTCCCTATATTTGGCGTTCTCACCTCCATAACGAAGCGTTTGTCATGGCTGCCTCCGCTCTCGGAGATGAGCTCGTATTTGAGACCTCGTCGCTTCTCGTTTAGCTCCATTACAGGATTTTTCCCACTTGCCGTTAGGATAGGGCCCTGAGTTCGCACCTGGCGAGTAAATAAAAGAGAAATTCATTTAAGAACAGCTTCACTGCTTTGTGAGGAAACAGAGCTGCCAGTGAACTTGAGAGCTGAAGCATAAAATGCAAAAAAGTCAGAAGCATAAAGTCAGCAGAAAACAACAGAGTAGATCTAATAACTGTAAAGAAAGCTCAGAAATCCTTTACGTACTCCTCCACGTTGTTTCTTCCACAACTAAAATGCAACATTTCAGTCGAAGTGTTTAAGATTAGAGGAACTTTCCTTCGAACTGGCTCTCAGGAAATATTCTTAATATTTAAAATAAGAATTAAGTTCAAACATAAACTCGGGAGATATTTTTCAAACCCTCTTTTAAATGTTTATTTTAAACAGTGCTTAAGGATTACTCCCAGTTTGCTGTTAACTTAAGATAATAAGCTCTGAGGCTCGTTTCCCAGCTTTATTGATTTATCTGGATATCATAACCTTTCAAGTTAAGATTGTTGCAGGAGTCTTGATAGTTCATATCCAGCTGGGTTTTATCCCATTTTCTGCAGAATACTAATATACCATTTCCTTATCTAAATTAGATCTAATTAGATTAAGACCAAAATGCAATTTTCCTGTGGTAATTATTTAATTTTCATTTCATCTTTTTTTGATAAAATGCTTACATAACAATTTTAACTCAGATGTTTTCAGCGATGCTGTGAACTGGTTTAAACTGCAAACAACCATCAATGAAGGTATATCATCCAGAGATCATTGAGTGACACGACTCAAGCTGAAGTTTAGCATTCAGTACAACTTTAAAGAGTGAGACCAAAAAAACCCAGAATGGACTCCCAGTTTTTACTAAATGCTGTTTGGGGAGATTTTGTTTGTTTTTTCTTTCTTTTGCAGCTCTAGTTGAGAAAGAAAGGTGAACAGAGGTAAAACGTTATATGAGCGTGAACCAGCGTTCACACCAATAGCAATAGGTTATGAGGTTCTCTCTAGTCTTAACTGAATTACCTATCAGATATAAAGCTAAATGTAAACATCTCTGGTACTGGAGACAAATCACCTTGCAAATCCATCTTCATACAGTAATCAACCAGCAAAAAAAATTATTTTTAATGCCAGACATTTGCAGTGGGATTGTTTCAGCGAGGTTCTGCAAATAAGATTTATATCCACCCAGTGATCTTGCATTGATGATTGTAGAATCTGAATGCCTTTTCCAGCACAGGGTTAATGTCTGGACTCTTTGGAGGCCACTCACTGTGTGGAAATGATATCTCCTGCCCCCTCATCTGAATTTTTTTCAGACAATGGGTCTCCACTACCATTCCAGTTTTAATAACACATTGTTCTTAACCCCGTTTAGTAGTTTCTATTATCTGTTTTTTTTTCTGCTTCCTATATACCGAAGATTTGACCTTTCTGAAACAGGCTGAGGATGTGGATGTGTTGTTAGACATAGATGCATAATAAATAAGAAGCCACTCATTGTACCAGTTGGGATAAATAACTTGTTGCAGTTGAAACAGAATTGCCCAATAACTATCCGACAGGAGGCATGTACCTATTTGTTTAGTTACGTCCAGGTAGTGGTCTTAAAAAAAAAACTTTTAGTCCTGAACTCGATTGAACATTTTCACAGTGTAGGCTAATTTTGACAACACTCACCTCCAGCGTGTTAGAACCATCTGAGGAGTGGGTTTGGTTATTGCCTGAGTGTGAAGAGGTCTCACTCTTCCCCTCGCTGTCAGATTTCTCATCCGAGCTCATGGGGTCCAGATCTGAGTCGAATCCTGTTGGGTAGCCCATTGCCTGGAGAACCTTAGGTGGAAACGCAAAGATAAAAACAATATAAGATCAGCAGCAATTTTCTGAAGACTTAATGATTCCTAGAAAGGAAATAAGGTATGTATAATGTCAATTTTCGCTTTAATCAGTAAACCTATTTCAAATGTGGCAGCACATTACAATGAAAAACAACACAAGACCTGTATGGATCAAAGACGACAATAAAAGAAAGAATTAGTTTCGGTCTGCAGTTGGTGATTGTGTCACTGGTCACTTTTGTCTGGGTGGCTGTGAGATAACAGATGAAAAAGATGAACCCTCAAAAGGGAAAGCACTGAATGAGAAGGAGAATAGAAAAAAGTGAACGGATGGGAGAAAGCCTTTTATGGGAACTGAGCGGATGGTGGATTATCTCAGCTCTGTGGACTGGAGAGCCTTTTTGTTCACAAGCACTTTGGGATTATATGGTTTGGCCCACATCCATCATTTCATCGTATTTTTTTTCATTTAGGAATATTAAAGAATAATAAAAACCTCAAGCTGATCAGTCTTTAGAGAATAGTTTTTAATGCTCTAGTGGCTTTTATTTTTGTTATATCTGGAAATACGTAGGCAGGAAATGGTGAGAAAGGGGGAAGACATGGAACAAAGGTCACCAGGCTGTGACTCGAACCTCTAAGGGCTGGTCAAGGAGCAAAGCCTCTGTAGAAGGATGGTGATCAGGGCTGCAAATAATAAATATTTTGCAAATCGATTAATCTATCGATAATATTTTAGATTAATCGATTAATAATCGGAGCGCAAAAGGTTCCTTTTTGCTAAATTAAATCAGGTGAAAATAAAGCTTTTCCACTTGAGTTGGTACACATTTTTTTACTTTTTAATTACTGCTCTAAGTTGGTTGGTCTGGCAACTAAACGCACATTTTAGAGTCTCTATATTTTATGAAACCTAACCTAAAATGGTGATATGCTCTCACTTGTGCACAATCATGGTTGGGTTTAGCTTTACCAAATAATTTAAAATTAAAGCTGAGCTGGCGGTCAGAATTTTCTGATAAAAGTTTGCAAAGGTAACAATTAAAAAAGGTTCACTACTTCCCTAACCTGTGAATGGTAGCCTGGTAAATGTAGTAGGGTAATATTTTTGAGTGGTTACTCTAAGATAAACGGTGTCCTGGCTGAGCCTCTCCTTCAGCAGAGAGACAGAATAACAATAAATCTGCATCAAAGTTTGAATTTCTGTGAATGTCTGTCTCGAGTTGTCTAAACAAGGATTAATTAGTAAAAAATGTTGCAAATAATCGTTTAGTTTAAAAAAAGCTGCATATTTGATACCAGCTGGACACCTGCTTATCACTGACTGATGGAAATACAAGAAAACTTCTCTCGCAGATCTTTTCTGTTGCTCTCTGTAGCAGTGATCCATATCAACAACAGCCACTGATAATCTTACTTGCAGAAGTGTATATCTGCTATTACAGCTTAGGTGCCTCTTATTCCTTTCCCCCCCCCCAACATTTTCTACATTTCCACTTTACCTTGACAGCAACGTGGAGCTTGGCTGTTTTCTTGGAGGATCCGGATGCTTCATAGACGGTTCCGTCCACATCCACAGACATGGTGAAGACTGGAGCGTGAACCGGCCCCGACTGGGACAGCAGGCGATACTGCAGCCCTGGTCGGATCTGGTTCAAGCGCATCAGGGCATTCATTGGCTGGTTGGAGTCTATGGCTTTACTGTCCAGGACTGCGGCAAGAGCAGATGGAAGATTTTCCCATTGAAGAATAGTTTTAATAGTGGTTTGTTAAGCTGTCGTTTAACACACCATTAGACAAATGTGACGTATTGAAATATTAGTATCATTAAATCATATTCTGTAATTCATTTTGCTGTAGCCAGCAGTTTGCATGATTACTACAGATGACTTCATATTTTCCTCCTCATTAAATCTCTATATCATCTCATTGTATGAAGAAAGAGTGAAAGATGATTGGATGTCTGGCTAAAATGTTAGTAATCAATACTATTGATTTGCTTCAAGAGAGGGAAAGGAGAAGAAAATGCTGGAGGAAAATAAAGATATTTTGTAGGGAAGTCCAACTTTTCATTAAAAAAAAAATTCATAAATCTAAACTGTTTATTATAAAAGTTTGTTTGATACAAATATGCAATCTTTTTAAAACACCCCTAAATATAATCAAAGCAGAGTGTCTAAAATAGTCTGTCATAATTCATAGTATCCTATCTAACCTTTTCTGAGGTTCCTCTTCATCTTCTTAATGAGGTCTTTGTCGTCCATTGTTCCGTCTTCATACGGCCTCTTTAGCCCTACACCTAAAGATGAAGGACAGACCGAAAGAATTATGAGAATACATTAACAAAGGAAAAGGTACAAACGCTTGACAAGAAGACAGTGAGGCAACGTCACGAATAACAAACAGCGAACCAAGAATGAGATGGATAAACTCGCAGATAAGATAAACAGAGCCGACAGGCGGGCCAGAAAAACAGTCAAACAACAAGGAAGACATACAAGCCTTTCTGCCACTTGCACCTTAATCTATAAATGCCTGGGCAATTTTCCATGTCAGCGACATGAGATATCAAAAGCCCCTGAGTCGATTTTCCATTAGAATCACTTTGGAAATGTGCCAGCTCAATATCTTCTGAGATTTCTCTAAGTCCTCCCCTGATATGGGCAAGAGGAGAAACCTCCCTGCACAGCTACTACAAGCAATATTCATACTTATCATAACATAAATTACAACTTTTATGAGGCTTCCTTTTGTATTTTGGAAACCTAGCTCAGCATTTTTATCGAGTTCAATTACCTTTCAGTGCATTTGTAAGTCTTTAGGATGAAGCATTTACCAGATTTACAGATATATTGCATGGGATGAATCTATAAACATCAATTCTCAGGATGTGTTGCAGCTTTAGGGTTGGAAATATCTGGACTTTTACTGGGTCATTTAAAACACAATCAGTGTTGAGCCAGACCTCCTTTGTAGAGGTGACAGCTGCTTTGGAGAAAAGTATTCCCACAGCATGGTGCTGCCACCACCATACTGTGACATGGGGACTGAGCTTTTAAGGTAAGATGCTATAAGTTGTTATTTTGAGGCTCATTCTTTTTCATGTACTTTAAAATTCCTGGTTGGTCTGATCTGACCAGTCCACTTTATTTCCCATGTTAGTGTGTCTCCGAAACGACTTGTTTTTCTTGCAAAAATTATAGTTGACCAGACAGATTCCTCCACCTGAGTCATGGAACCCTGCAGCTCCTCCAGAGGAACGAGAGGAATATTGGTTCACTCTATTGTTAGGAGGCATCTACCACACAATTGCATTTTATTAAGGATACTGTAATAAAGAAAAATAAATAACAATTGTGGTCAAACTTCTTAAAAAAAATTAAGTCTCTTCCTCCAATTTTGCAATAATGAAATATTTGTTTGATTTATTACCCAACACCAATTGAGGCCAAGAAAAGACACAACAATTCTCTGTATTTTCTATACAGCTTCTTTTATCACTTTCATTGATGATCCTACCTGTGGTTTTCCTAACAAACCCCTCCAATAAAAGTAAAAGGCTTGTGTCTAAGGTGATAACATTTAAGAAACCATTGGCTGACCCAAGATACAGGACCAAAGTTAAAGCCTTTGAAAAAATAAAATAGAAGACAGACTAAAAAAAACACAGAAAGACAGGAAGAAAAGGGAGAAAAGTAAAAATATCTGACAGAAAATCTAAAAGAAAGATGTGTGGATGGAAGCCAAGGAAATGTAGGATGAAAGAAAGGAAGAGAGCAGAGCAGGCAGGCAGGCAGGCAGGGGAGATAGGTACAAACCTTCTTTATCAGACCAAGGGTATTTCTGTGATGGTTTATTTGAGGGAAGAGGATCCATCTCTAACACTTTATAGATCTGTCCAAATGCCATGAGTCTGAGAGCATGCTGTTGAATGCAAAACACAGCAGACATCAGGAGTGGAAAGGGGGTAGAAAAATGGATCACATCTAATTAAAAGAAAACTTTTCACGATAATTCTATAATATGTTATGCAGAACAATTAAGCAAGTAAACCACCAGTTAAGAAACACATGTCCTCAATATTCATTGTCATTCAGAGTAATTTTCACAACAGCATCTCTGCTCCAACAATTTATTTCTGTCAAAAAATATTTAAAATCCCAATTAGGGAAGAACCCAGCTCCCCTGACAACCTAACCTAATTCAGTCACTTGGATCTGGATCTACTAACCAGATGTGTGGGCTGGAAAGTAGATGGACACATAAATCAGCAGTTTTTCTTTTGAAATCTTATTTTATTTCAGTTTCTACAGACCTTGATAATGCCTGAATTTACAGAGACATCATCTGTCCATCTCCTGCTCCATCATAACTCATGAACAAGACTCTAAGATAATGGAATTCCTCCCTTTGAAGGAGGGATTGAATCCATATCTTTATACAACTCTGAGGAGATTAGCTGTAATGCCAAAAGAGGAGGACATAAATAATGTACTAAATAATGTTAAGATGTCTTTTTTTTTATACACCCCCAAATAATCATTTTGTTTTTACAATGCCATGTTCTCATTGTTTTATCATTTTACGAGAGACACCTGTGTGATTTAAAATCATAGATCAACAACTTGAATAGAAAAAAAAAGAATAATTTAAAACCTTTCTGAGGTATAAATCATCTTGAGCTCACAGGTTTTTGTGTTGCAGATGAACTGTTTTCTCTAGCTGCCACATATTCTATTAAACATTAAAGCCAGAACATACCTGATCACCCATTTAATGGTTTATAAAACCGAATAAAATCAGCAGAAATTGTAAATGCATCTTAAAGATAAATATCCAATTAAATCCATTAAGGAGGAGGAAGGTGTCAGATATTCATGATGACTGGTGTGGCTCATTGACAGAACAGCTCCCTGACTCCTATCTCTTCTTGTATCTGCACCAGCACAATTATTCCCATTGACATTCCAGACTCGTTCTGGCTGCCTTCAAAGGAAATGGACGGCAGGATTCACTAAGCCATGCGCCTCAGAGGGTGCCCTGCTCAGCGGAGCATGTGTGTGAAGAAAGATGTGCACGCATACACACATCCACACACACACACACACACACACACACACACATACACAACCGCTGTCCTCAGGGTGTCGGAGATAGATTTATGGTTTGCAATGCCAACAGTTTCCCACACCGATCCTTAAAATGCAGCACCACACAGGCTCAGTGATGTGTGTGCTCGGGGTGATACTGAGGTCTGCCTGTCTGGTAATTGTCGTACTGCTAACTTGTTCCCAGATTATGAAAACTTGGGACAAGTAAGGCGTAAAGCTGTGGTTTATGTGAGCGTACCTGTGCGCCGTAGGTGATGGCCTCGGCCTCCTGGTCCGTCATGTTGGAAAGAGTGTCCGTGGGCTCTTTCTCACATGGGTCATGTAAACCTGGTCCCCCTGAAAAAAGAGGCAGAAGATAAACATCTAGATCAAAACAAAGAGTCGATTGATGTTACTGAATATATAAAGTAATGTTTTAATTATCTCGTGCAGTTTTTTTTTTTATACTGTTTTTATAATTTTATACTGCAATCAGGATTTATTTTGACTCAGCTTTTATAGAAATCTGAAGAAGAAAAAAACAATGTTGGCCTCTATCATTACTTGCACACACTTTGACACACAGACCTTTAAACATAACAGTTTTATTAATTTCCTTCAACTGCCAGATAAAGTTTGTGATTAGTAATAACTTAATTTCATAATTTTAAGAAAAAATTATATTTAATCCTTTGTTTAACCCCCAAAACCAAGACCACATTTATTTAAAACCCAGCTGTTAAAGAGGCTAGAGAGTAAAAAAAGTAATAAAAATATCTTTTAAGTCTTTGAATGAGTTTGTATTTTTCTGCGAATAACCTGATGAGTGAGTAAAACAAAAAAACAGGTTGTGAACTTCTCAAACTAAAAAATAAAGTCCTGCTTTATCCAAAAAAGCCACTCGGTTTTTCTTCAAATCAGAATTAATTTTACATACTTTAATGGAATCTGACAGTCAGGAAACTAAAAGTTTCTTTCAATCTTAGTTTTTTGTTATTTCCTTACTTATCCAGACTTAGAAAATGAAATATTCCACAAAATTCCTGACTTTTCAGTACTCTATAGAAATCCTATAAAACATTTAAAATGTTGAGAAAAAGGAAATCAGATTGATTAAAAATAAATCCCAGTGATGCTGTTCAGAGTTAAAGTAGGACGTCTCAGATGAACCAGGAAACATTGATGTTTTCTTCTACACCACAAACAGATTGGAGTATTTAAAACCAAAATGTAAGGAAAACTAAAAAAGCTTTTAACCTGGCAAACATGTTATACAGCAGAGTTCTTGTTGGATTTCTTGCAGGGTGCATGAGAGAGCATAGCTGATGTTAAATAGACCTAGTTCCTTAAGATTGTATTTCTATATATAAACATCTGTATTCATCCAACTCAGAATTTAAGAAATTTAGTTGAAAACATATTTAGCTTCATAGAGCAATTTCCACAGGGACAAATAACATTTTAAAAAGAAGCCTCTTAGCTGTGCCTAATTAAAATGCTCTCCTAATGACAAACTGTCTAAGACAGCTGTGCTCTGAAAGGTCGCTGACAATGTCTTGACCTTCGTAGCTTTGAAATGAGCCAAAGTGTCTTCTTATCTCACCAACCGGAAGACATCCTTTGCTCTGTTCAGCAGCAATGCCAAGTATTAGCACGTAACTAAACGTGTTGCTAAAGCTTTGGATTCATACCTGGGAGCAGTATGCCTGAAGCCAGACACTCCATGACTCGACGCAATGCTTCTCCTGCCCCAAGAGGTCTGTTGCAAGTCGCAATGGCCTTCTCGCATATTAGCTCTAATGGCTGCAAAAAGCAATAAATACATTAACATTAAAATTAAACTGAAGAAATAATTTCCAAAAATAAAAAAGGCAAGAGTATAACCTAAAAGAGCAAGAAAAAAGTAAAAACATGCATGTGTTTAATCAAATGGCAATATTTCACTTTAAATAATCTGCAGGCTTGAAATAAGTTTTTTAACTTTCTGTACCAACCCTCTCACTATGTTTTGCAGCACGATAAACACGGCTCATCAACAAGCCTCATTTGTCAGTTCCAGTTGATTAAACATTTTTTTCTTGCTCTGAGTCACTCTTGTCTTTAAAAGATTTCCTGCCCTCTAAACATCAGCACTTCTTTCCTAAATAGCAATTTCTCTTGTCTTACATTAAGCTATGAATAGCTAAGAGAAATCGAAAGTGGAAAAATAAATGCATAAAATATAAGTTAATCAATAAATTAATCTTTGTCATAGTTAAAAAGAAAGTATTGAAATACATTCTTATTAATCTTTAAGGGTGTAGTTAGGGGTGGTTTTAATAATCTTTTAAAAAGCAATTATTTATTTAGGATTTTTTTCTCTTCTGTATTATAGCTAAATCTATTTAAATAATATATTCTAAATTACTGCACAAAAGCTTCTTAAATATCATTAAACTACAACTATAATGTTATATTATCTTTGCTAGAGTTGTGAATTATAGCAAAAATTTCACTGTTTGAGTGCCATTTCATGAAGTATTTTCAATCCTTTAAAAGAATCAATGAGCTAATGGCTTTTAATGAAACTTTAATTATAAACAGAACCTATAAAACTCCCCAAAACTTGAGTGTTTTTCTGGCCTACTTTAATACAATATCAAAAATAAAGGAAATGTTTAAAAATGATTCATGTTTATGGCATTAAAGTTACACCTATCGTTATAACCAATACATTTCTACAAATTTATATTCGTCTTATGACAGAAAAATATAATATCAAGGATCAGTCAGTGCATGAACACCATACAAACCTATCAAATGGGTATAAAATCAAATCATATTAAACTCTTTTTGCTGGGATTATTTGGAAAATTAACTGAACTGAACAGAAACGTGATCTTAAAAGAGTGAAGATGGTAGAATTAGCGGTGCCACTCATCACTGCTTAAGATGAGGATGTCATTTTCATTCATTTTCTGATCAATCCGCTTTGTTGAGGACGTCACTTGGATGGGATTTAGTCGACTGAAACTAAATTACTACAGCTAACTATGCTATGACTGAAACCACTTTCCATTATAGTTAAGACTGTGACTAAATTAACACTGCTCCACATTTCGGCAAAATAAAAAAAAGAACCAACTGTTCAACAAAGTGAAACACTGTTTTCATTTCATGAAATTAACCCTGCCAGATAAGAAGTGAAAAGACTCACCCATCCTTTGAGAGGTTCCCACATGGGGTGTCTATTGCACATGTCTCTTAGTATCCTGAGAACGATAACACAGGACTTAAGTCCGTTCACTCGAGCCTGAGAATTTGTAGGATGAAGAGGGAAAAGTGGAGTAGGGTAAGATGAGGGAAAAAATACATTAAATTAGAGGGGAAAAAGGGAACCAATTGAACATGAGGGTAGAGGTCATTTTGAAGATATACAAAAACAGCCTGAAATATTAACAGTAAAAACTTTGCATAGGCATTCTATTTGCAATATTCTGCATTAACTCAGTCTACTAACAGTATAAACTTTTATGATGCTTTGATCCCTGTTATTATGACTGCTTTTGCTTTTTATGGTCAGTTTGGTTAGAAGAGATGGGGAACGGTATGGGAGAAAAATATAAAAGGAAGCTCTGACATACTGCACAAATCAGGGAGATTCACACAATAGCCAAAAAGAAACAAACACAAGTATAAAGTATTGCTTTTGTAGCCTTACGATATTTTATCACAATCAACGTTTTCAACTAATCATTGGCTGGAAGTATCTGACAAGGAAAAACAAGTAAAAATGAAATAAAGATTGTATTTAAACTTCAATGAAAATATTTTCTCAATAGTTTAAACTATTATGTAAATTGATGTTAAACTTGTACATTTCTCCCTCCATTAAACAGAGTAATAGTAATAAATGCAGAAAACTGTGCAGCCAGTAAGTAAATCCTCCCTGAATAAATCGTCAGGCTACAATAAGCATCGGGCACGAAGACAGGAAGTGAGTGGGTGCCGACCTGAAACCATTTGGCGTGTCGCAGCGCTGCCAGGGCCAACAGACATCTGTGTCTATCCAGCACCTCCCCCTCCTCCTCAGCCTCCACTGTGTGCGCAGCAGCACCCAACACTGCCACAAAACAACAACCCGATATAGAGAACGTAAAACACACACACACATCATGGCTGAGTGTGTGTGTTTGAAGGCTGCATGTGTGTGAATGTACCCAGGCGTGCTCCAAAGAGTGCATGAAAGTTCATACACACACACGTGCATGGACATTTTTAGTACATACAAGGTGCTTTTCATGCCATAAAGTTGGACTCTCCTTGTAAAAAGTGCTCCCTCTGTACAGTTCTTGAATCTTAGTGAAAGATCTTAAAGGGATAAGCTCTGGATTTTTGAAGTGAGGCTATAATCGGTAAAAATCTTACCTGCAGTAGTTAATTATAATCTTTTAGTGTGAATCCAGATAGGATTGTTCTGGGGGCTGAAGCAAATGGATCGTCTGAGCTTGGCCTTTTTAAAAAGCAAATCTTTAGCGTAAAGTTATTTGAGGAGAAGCCTGAGATTGTTTATAAAGCAAATAAAAGTATGAAGGGTTCGAATTAAAGAATATCGAAGGATTTTGAAAAATTTTCAGTTTTCCGAGGTATAAAACCAGGGCATACTTACGTGCTGAAGCATGAAAAAAAAAAGTTTGATTACGTAATATGGAAAAGGTACACTGCAAAAAAATCTAAATCTAGATAAGAAATTTTCTCTTAAAATAAGTGCATTTGTTCTTGAATTGAGGAGGTAAAAGAGACATTTTGCCAATTGAACAAGACACTTAAAATAAGAAAAGTTGCATTGTCTTATTTTAAGTGCATATTATCTAATTATCTTATTTTAAGAATAAAATTACTCATTCCATTGGCAAACTATCTCATTTACCTACTCAAATTAAAGGTGCATACACTTAATTTAAGAATTTTTTACTTATTTCTAGATCGTTTTTGCAGTGTAAAGTACCCATATACTGTATAGCCCAAGCACACTGTGAATCTATACTTGATCTCTAATTGATAGATAAACGATACCAAGAATAATTCATTTTGCAAACCGTTTCAACACAGTTGTCAAGCAACATGCCTCCAAATTGCGCATACAAAAAGATGTAAGCAAAACTGTGTAATACTAAATGAACAGTATCAGGTTTTTTATGCCTTAATCCCGGAATTTGCTACAAACAAGTTGGTGAAATAGCTTCTCTGTAAACAACAGCGAAAGTAAAAGCTGTCATCACATTAAAAACCATGACGTTTCTAAAATTAGGAATTTTTGCTATAATCTTTTGCTGCTGTAACACCACATTTTCCCCATTGTGGGACAATAAAGGGATTTTCTATTATATTTTAAAGACTGCAGAAGTTTCCTTTAGTCTGAGCTCTACTCGGATTAACAGTCAGCTTCAGACTTACTACCCAGAACATACCTTACATAGTATCTTCATTAGGCCAGGTAAGATTATTAACGACTTAGATCCTTTTCATACAAAATGATCCAGAACTATCCCTTTAAAGGTATTTTTGTAATCAGTTTGAAGAATGTGTTCTGTCTTGTTCAGTTTAGCAATTTGAACATAAAATGTTGATTAGTTTATATACAATGTTATTAAGAAATCAATGTATTGGAGAGCACACATTTTCATAGAACAAAGAAGCAACTTTGCAGAACAGAGAGCTCCCTACAGACATACACCAAACAAATACCCAAGGAATGTTGATTTACCTTGTAAGAGGCTTGGTTATTTCAGTGTGCCCAGCAAGGTGAATCAATCTCTCCTTTAAGTATTTACAGAAAATTTTGATCCAGTCTTTATCAGGCAGGAGTCAAAATAAGAGCTTTTGTGTGCATGTATCTTTTTATTACTTAAGGTGCATTTGATTTTGCAGCTACTCCAGGCAAAGACAAAATCAAGTGCTCCTAAAGTAGGACTGAAATAAAATGAAAAAGAAAAAAAACAAACTCTAAGGTTGTTTTGAACTGATCTGAGACAGGCACAACACAGGAGGGATCAAGGCAGGGTTGAGTCAGAGTAATATGGCTGGTTGGAAACAAGCGTTGTCCCTTAGAGTAATACTTTTATATGGGTGTGTTAGATTCATACTGCCTTACACAACCAGCTGCTCCAGGTTCTGCAATCTTTGACGTGTTGCATCTTGTGTAATAATGCATGGCATTGGTCAAGGCAGTCTGAATCAAACGCAGCGTTGTATGAGCGACTGAAGTTTCATGGATGTTCTACTGTGATGTAACCTTTCATCTAAGAGGCGTTTGTGTTGAATATTTCCCATCCCTGGGAGAATGTTTTTCTACTCTACAGACTGTAAAATTCAAATAAATCTAATGAAAGCAGCATAAGAACATTTATTTGACACTTTCCTTGAAATACAGTTTAGTTCCTTCTCTATTTAAAGCAGTCAGTGTATCCTAAAGGTCTGTCAGATTGGTCCCAGCTGCATTTGGGACTCTTCCACTGCTGCTAGTGGATCATTGTAATCTTTTTGCTGAAGCTTGTCCTCCCACAATTCTTACAAACTCTCTGTTGGCTGCTGCCTCTTTTATCATCATCATCACCCACAGTGTTTCTGAGCTCTTGTGTCTCTCAGTCTTATAAAAAAAAAAAAAAACTTCTCTTCCCTGTCGCGTATTAGCTCATTTCCTGTCCCACCTGCCTCCGTCACCATGCAGAACAACAGATGTCCAAGACTGCACCAAATAAGCTTGATGTAAATATGCATACAGAAGTTATTTTCAAACAAATAATCATAAATGCCACTAGTATAAAAAGATGCATCTCAATAAATTTAATTATGTTTGAAAAGTGAACGTATTCCAGTAATGTCATTAAAGAGGAAAAAGTGAAATTAAATGATAAAACACTGGGAGAGAATTGTCTAGAGAAGTGATTATACAAGTTCATTTAAATGCTTATGGACTAAAACTAATAAAAAAACTGATAAAACAGTTTTAAAACATGCATCCCTGCCTATTTTAAATGTTATCAATGTACTGTACAGTTTTTGAACATAAATGCTTGAGGCTCTCTACATGAATTATAGCATTACTGTGGCATGGCGTGGAGGGGATCAGCCTATGGCCTTTAGGTCGCCTGCGGGATTCGATCTTGCGCTCTTATCTTTGACTTGACAACACTTCATAGCTTCTCTGTGAGATTTGGATTAGGCCAATTTGCTGGCCAATTAAGCACGGCAATATAACGGCCAATAAACCAGGTATGGGTACTGTACTTTGGTTTACAGGTGCCAAGTTCTATTAGAAAAATTCAGCACAAATCAGCATCTTCACTAAATTATCGGCAGAGGAGAACATGAATTAGTCTAAAATGCCTTGGTAGATTGTTGCACCAACTGTGGAAACATCCCACTTGACTTCAAGCAACAAGAAATCTGCACTGTTCTTCTGGACCAGAAGTTTCTGAAAAAGTAATATAATCATTTCTAATTTAATGTTTAAATCACAAAGTTAAAAATCCAATTAAAAAAGTATTTTTCATTTTAAAAGAAATTGTTTAAGAGGCACTGTATGTTGTATTAATTAATTAATTACTAAATATGGCAGTTTTAAAATATATTTTCAAATCTTTTATCTCAACAGATATTTTAAAAACACAATTATAATTCTGATTTTAAACATTTAAAAAGCAATTTTTCCAATTCCATTTTTTCTTCACTTTTGCATTTTCAAATGACGATGGCCGTCATGTTGTGACCCATGTGTGGCAGTCTTACCAACGAGAAAGCTGGTTACACCCAAAGACCAACAGGGATTGGTTTAACCTGGTTTTTATTGTGTTTAGGACCAGAAGGGCCACAGAAAAGATAAATAGAAAGGATAGCGTAAAAAGCAAATGCAATTACAAAAAGGATTTGAAAAATGGAAGGTCAAAAAGAAAATGTAAATAGAAAAAGGAATATATTTTTTAAATGTTTGATAGGGAAAGGTATTTAAGAAACTTCATTTTTAAATCTCCATTTCAAATTTGATTTGAAAAAAAATATGCTGTGCAGTATTTAGTAATGCTTTTATCCATTTAAGTTCCTCTCATAATTAAATGTAAAATGTCCAATTATAAAACACTAAAATTGGATTTCTAATTGTTTAATAAACTGGTTGCATTTCTTTTTCTTTTCTTTTCCAGATTATAAAATCTGTCTAAAGGGCTTTTGTTTTAAAGTCATCTGAAGGTTGGAGTTGTCTTTGTAGCTTTTGCACACCTTTCTAAAACACTTAACTTTTTCCCTTCCATTAACTTTCCACCAATTTACTTTGTAAAAGCTCTCTGAAGAGCCCATTTCTTCACCTACAATATTAGGTGGCCTCTTGTGAAGAGTCTGAATGAATGAATAAAATTAGTCAGTTGCTACCATTGTCAATGTTAACACAATCTCTGTACAATGAATTTCCCTTTTTCAAATTCCAAAACTGAAATAGCAAAAAATTATATATTTGAATGTCAGCTTGACATATATTGTTTTATTTGACCTTAAACAAGAATATGGTTTACAAATAACAGCCTAAAAATAACACAGCCCATTTGTTTTAATAGTTCATATGATTCATGTGCTTATTATCACCAAACTTTAAATTTTTTTAAGCTCTTTTAACACTAACACATCTTTGTAATGGGATAAATATTAAAGCTTGACATATTTGAAATATGCTGATAATAAATCTGAGAGATTAGATCCAGTAAGACGGGCATGTTTATTTATCAGCTGCAAAGTACGGCCCTGTGTGTTTGTGTTGGTGTGTGTGTGTGGGGGGGAAACCTGAGCTCTTCTCTCCATCTTGCTGAGGCCTGTGGAATGATGTACAGCTAACCTTCGTGCTATCTCTCATCCCTCTGTGAGAGCCGAGTGTCTCGTTGGACAGGAGCCACACGATGGATGGGCAGCCTGCTGCTGCTGCGTCTCGGTTATTGATTTCACCGGCCTGCTGGCCTTGCTTTCCCCTGCTACCCACGACTAATTATAACCAGTCTCCACTAGCATAAAAACAGCTTGTAGCACCAATCCAAAAAAAAAAAAGGAAAGATAAGGAACTGATGATTTTAAATCATTTCCAAATCTACTGAAGTCTTGTTCTAATTCATTGTGCTCGGCTGTTTATTCTATTTTTTTCAGAAGGTCGCTGCATCTCTCTCAGGAGTTGGTTTCTGACAGCTACATCAGCAGTGAGGGATCATTGTGACACAAAGCTTGTCTTTTACTCCACTGCTGGTTTTCTTTTTTATTCCAATACTTGTATTTTTGCTTTAAAATCCGACCACACTGCAGGACAGTCTGAGGCGGTCAGAACATGAGAAATTGAGCCAATACTACACTGACAAAAAGCAGCATTGAGGTTATCTTTAGTATATTTTTCACTTGACAGATGACATTTGGAGTTGCTTCTAACAGTGATGTACAAAATCTAGAGTTTTCAGAAAATAAAGATGAATTGTGTCTGAGGACGTACTGATCTGCCACTTTAAGAAGAAAATGGGAAAAGGAGTTAAAATGATGCAAATGAATTTTAAGGATAATGTTTTTATTGATCAAAAAAGTGTCTTTTGCAATGGCTTAGACTAGTCGTTTTAACATTTTATGCACCTGCTATTACAATGCAATTTCTCCCTGTTTTACATATAATCTGTTAACCGTTTCAGTAGTTATTCTGCAAATGTATTATATAAAGTTAGATTTGTATGAAACCCATAAGTTAGCATTGGCTTCTGCAGGGATTTAGGAATACATTTATAACCAACACTACTTGCTTTGCCATCAACACATAATAACTTGATGCTGATCCCTGTTCTCAATGAACATATTTCATCTCAAAGTCAGAGATAATCAGCTGGAGACTGGATGTGCGATCCTAATGTCTGATTCCTACAGAAAGTGGGACAAACTTGAATCACATCAAGTTAAAGCCAAGTTTACGGGATACCAGAGAGGCTAAGCGTTTTGCAGTAGAGTCTCTATGTTTTATTATTTTAGTTCTGGACCCCGTCTCTGAAAGAACTTGATGGATTTCAAAATGTCGACTCTTTGTAAACCTGTGTTCAGGTCAGGATCTAAATTGTCTGCTTACTACGCAGAGAGACTAATATCTACAGTACGGGTACCAATGCTCACTATGCTAATTTTGCTAAATATAAACATCAAATCTGACAGATGAATAACAGGTCATCTTCCTAAAAAAATGCTCTGACTTCTCAAAGCAGGACATTGAGAAAAGAAAAGTTTACTACTATTCATTATAGTTCTTAAAGTTCAAATCAGTGTTAGGTTGTCTCAGCTTTACCAAGCTGCAAATTGAAAATCTACAACAAATCACTGATCTCTCTCCTTTCTGTTTTTGAAAAGTTAGTAATTTGTGGAATCGTTAGACATCTTTGGTTACAATAGGGTTTTCATAACACCGCTGAATTTAAAGGGTTATCTCTATATGGCATATCTGAGCACGGCAGGTATTGAAATCTTTAATTTTGTTGTTTACGTCTTTCATTAGTGAGATATTACATTTAAAGGTGATCAAAATATTCAAGAAAATCATTGATCTTTCATATAAAATGATCCCTTTGAGGTTGAACTGATTTTGTTTACATTATCAATAGAAATTCTGTTTCTCTTATGCGTAAATTTATCCAAACTACAATAATTTTTTTTAGGCAATTAATAAATAATTTAAATTTGCTTTAAATAATGACCCCTTTGGGTACTTTTGGTTCTTGCAGTTTTAGGTATTCTACCCACCCCTGCCTGTTCCCATCTTGTCTTGTACCCTCACCAGTTAATAAGTTCAAAGCTGATTTAGAACAAAAAACGTTATGTTTTACAACAAGCACATTTGGCACAAAAAAACAACAACTCTGTGATTTGTGTGAGTTTGGTTGGACAGACTAAGCAAATAATAAAAAATGGATACCTTTTAAATTCAGGGTTTCGTACCTTCACCATTTTCCTGCCCCGGCTCCTCTTCTACAGTTTCTTCCTCTGCTTGTTCCGCTACCTCTTCTGCATGCTCCCCGTTCTCCAGCGCCTCTTCTTCCTCCTCCTCCTCCACCTCCTCCTCCTCCTCTAGATCTTCATCTTCCCTCATGGCTGGTGAGGTAAGGGTGATCTTCAGCTTAAGCTTTGGATCTGTCGTAGTTTGTACCAAGATAGCTGCCTCGGGCAAAGAGCTTGTGACCTCATATTTCTCCTCTGTCAGCTTCTGCGGTGGGTTAATAGACACAGGCAAAGTGGTTGAGGACCAAGGTCGCGGGATTAGTTACAGCTGAACAAAATGATTTTTAGAAAGCTAAATCTTCCTGATGCTGCGTCCAACGGGAAAGATAAACACCTACCCTCCCGGTGGATAAATCTGTTTTTTTATTTTTTTATTGCCCATATATGAAACTACAAGCTTCCTTAAAGCACCCCATGATGCTACCACCCCAGTGTGCTGTATTCAGGAGTGGAAGTTTTTTAATGGATATTAAAAAAAAATGTGAATTCAGTTTACTGATCACCAGACTTTGAAAAAAAATGGCTCTAATACATCTTATTAAAAGGTAAACCACATATCATGTTCCTTCCATCACACCGTTATATATGTGTTGGTTCTATCATACATGTAGGTATGTTCAAAAGTAGTTAACCAGGGTTAATGTTCTGTGTGTTTCTTAAAGGTTTCAATGATCCAGCTCAGCTGATTCAAACAGATGAATAACGTCCTCATATGTCATCAGGTTTTGCAGAGGCCTGGTACTAAACCAGGTGTATAAAACCAGTGACAGTTCTGAAATTGGGCCAACAGCCCTTGACTGACTTTCCTCCACCACTGATCTGTTACATAAAAATCTCAGTAAAATAGGCTGAAACAAGTGGTTGTAGCGTAGAGTCTTATTAGTACAGTACAGTACTTCAAACATCAGGGGGCAAGATTCATCATCAAAAACATCCATGATAAAGTAATTATGGTTCTGCTGAAATCACCAGGTTAAAACAAACATCCAGTTTTCAAGGTAAATCTTTCTTTGAGTAAAACACGTGTTACAGCCTCTGTCAAAGTGAGCAATGACTCACATGGGGCTATTTGGCTCTGAGACAAAATCAAAATCTCAGATATGAGACTTTGCTACGTGCTACCTCACGGTTAGAGGGGGAAAAAGGCATTTTTCATACACTCAAGATATAATAGTGGACTTAATAGAAGGCAGGATTTATTTGTAAACAGACCTGTTAGTCAGGGGAAGTCTTAAACATGAGATACTAAATGTTATCTACTTGAAAACACACCCCTTTTCTTTGCAAATGTTACCTAAGCAGCAATGGTTTGGAATTTATATTACTGTGCAAAGGTTTTAAGCCTTTTTACCACGCTTCCTCCTCCCACCTAAAAAATAAAAAAGAGGTTTTATGTTTTCCATGTATAAAAAGGTATACTAAGGGAAAAATATTATAGAGTCTTTCTGCTATTTGTTTCTGAGTTTTTATCAAGTTTTTTTTTTTTTTGTTATAGTTCATTATGCAGCCATATATAATATTAGCAAGAAATTGATCAACTGAGGAATAAAAAAAAAACTAACTTCATCTTTACCTTAAAGGTATAGTGGAGGATTTTTGCTAATTTCTCTCTCTCCAAGTCTCTCCACTTAAAAAAGAGAGGGAACGCCTATTAAACTCGGGCGAGAGCATGCACAAGCCGATTTCTCCTCGTGCAGGCTCTGTTTAAAAGTTGCTGTTTGCATCGCTCATACAAGCTTAGTTTCCAAAAAAGATTTGCAATTTTTCAACTATGTCAATTTCACCATAGGTAAGTGAAAATGGGGACGAGCATGTAGGACGGCCTTACGTAAACATATCACCAGAAGGGTTGACAATTAGGAAGGTCACTTATTTTGATGATCCACCTGGAAAAAGAACGTCCTCCAATATACCTTTAAAGTCTTGATCTTCCTAATGAATCTGAACTTTTAGCCTTTTCTGAACCCTTTATAGTCTGACTTTGTGTTAATTTCGTCCACAGACTCGTTTGCAGTAGCTTAGTGATATCAGTTTATTTGTTTTCAGCATCTTTGCTCTGTAACTTATTTAAAGATTTACTCTAAGCTCTTTGCAACATGTAGTGAGTTCAACTGTATTTATGCATTTAGTTTTTGTTTTTATTTTGGTAGAAAAGTAAAAGAATAAAAACAGGAGCTCAATGGGGACCTCAACCCATTGCAACAACTTTTTTCTTGGCAGATACGATCTGAAACAAAAATAACATTTCCTACAAATCACAGGTAGAAATTAAGCAATCAGGGATGTTTAACAAATACAAGAACAAACCTATTAGATCAATAAACAAGTTAAAATATCCATTCTTATTAGGTATATTTGTCTGACTGCGCACATTTGAAATTAGAAAATTCGTAAAGCAGCTATTAAACATACTTTTCATTGAGCCCACATTGTTGTAAATCCCATTAGGTCTAATCTAACATATCTTAATCTTAAATTAAAGAGTTTCAGGAACTGCAAGCAGAAAATTACCATAGTAAACAAATAGAAAGGCTTAAAAAAACATGTCTGTGATTTGATCAGCTCTCTAATTGATTTTATTTTAATAGCACCATTCTGATTGAATACGACTAATGTGAGTAGTGAGAACTTGCAGTCAATTCTAGCACCGTGTTTGTTATAAGATGCCTTAGAATAATCTGTATTAGATGTAATTAAAGTTTCTAAGTGTACATTTGGTGATGTAATAAAGGAAAAAAAGCAGATGGTGCAGTTTTGAGAATTTAACTGTCATGCAAATGACAGGTCCAACCTGCCTTACCACTTTAGTTTGTTTTTCGTTTTTATATTAAAGAATCGTGCAACATTTTGGAAAATTTGTAATAATTGAAAATATTCTTTTCCTGACATTTAAAAGCAACAAATTTAAACTGAGCGTACTCTGCTGATATACTTTAAAGTTTCTAGAGTCTAGACTTGCTCTATGTTGGAGGTTCTGTGTAAGATTAAAAGCACATCCTCCAGTCTCATAAGTTTCTTAAGATAACATTTTTTAACCTGACATACAAAGACAAAGCTGAATAGCTGCTGGAGAGTTTTTCTGAAGTGAGAAGGTGTCTTTTAATACTGTTAATTAGGACGACCACTTTTTTACCTAAAAAGAAAACAGAAAAATAGGTGATGACACTGGCTTTCCCATTGAACTATTTAAGACAAAAAAAACTCTTAAAGATATGAAAAATAGAGAAAACATTTGAAAGAGATAACAGGTTGGTTGGTTGTGCTTGTTTGTTGTTTTCCCTGTGTGAGTTAATCTCTGGATAATTGTTAGGAGCCTCACTTCAGAGCCATGACTTGTTAATGAGGAAATGTGACACATGGACATGACACCTCTCAACTTCACAGTCGACGGCACTGCAGCATCGTGCCTACTTAAGCACACGCTGTCACCCACAGGACCTTCCTGATGGCAGCAGAGTAAATGATGGTAAACAGAAACCAAAGCACAAAAAAATTGTGGAAGCCTTTTTAACTTGCATATTCCCTCTTGTTAAATTTTTATAAAAAATAATAATAATCATCTTATCAATACAAAAATGTAAAATATTTAAATACATGGTGTGTGTGAAAGAACAAGTCAGAAATGCCAAATAAAGTTAGCAATAGTGTGTGTGGGTCTCTAACCTGGATCTGTGTGGGTAAATTGTGACAGACAGTGTCCAGCAGTGTCTGTGTGGGTTTGTCTCTGCACATCAGCACCAGCTCCAGGTCCATGTCGCCTTTGATCAGGAGTCCTTTAGCCACCAGACCGACCCTCATCACTCCGCAGAGCATGCCACAACCGCCAGACTCTCTACTTCACAAATAAACATTAAAAAGGTCATCTTATGCAAGTTGGAACAAAACATTATCTATGGTTAAAAACACGTTAAACCACCTTTATCTAATGAGATCACTGCTTAGCTTTAGGTGCTAAAAACAAGCATTTTATAATCTACATTCTACAGAAAATGTTCCAATTATACTTTTGGTTTTTAAATCTGATAAAAACATTCATCAAACGACTCCTTTCAAAACGTCTTTCAAACCTTGTTTACTTAACAAAATAATCGGCTTACAGGCAGCATGATTAAATAATTGAAATACACGTTGCAGTTAATATGACAAAATAAGATCAGACAGAGCAATCCAGCTCTTTAATGAGAAGTAGTGAACCGTCTATAAAGAGATACATGAAGCTTTTCAACCATGAAGACTTTCTGATCAGATAGTGCCAAGCTGTGGAGTTATTTCCCCTCTGCAGAAACACTTTAAGCCCAGGAGCTCTTCAGAAAGGTTTGTGACTGGCTGGGCCATATGTGGGTCACTGATAATATTACAGCCGGTGCACCAAAATCAAAGTACATGAAAGAATGTCAGGGGTTTTGTTATACTGGCATCCCAAAATGGGGTGATCTGGGGAGGGAAATTTTTCTATATTGATCTTTGCAGAGAAGCTCAAACTGAGAATATTAGTTTTCCTGTTCTGGCGCAGATCTAATTGGAACCAGAATTGTCTGTTCTATTCCATGCATGTGCTATTGAACCATTCTGCTTTAGCTTTGGCTGCATCTTTGCGGCAGTGGTGCTTCGAAAATTAATGGTGCCCTGGGCAAGCGCCTCAATATGCTGCCCTTAACTCAGGGGTGGGCAATTCCTGTTCCTGAGGGGCTTTTATCCTGCAATCTTTAGATGTGCCTTTGGTTCAACACACATTCATCGAATAATTACATGATCAAGAAGACTCTGGATGAACTGACTGAATACTAAGGAGGTAACTCTACCATTTGATTCAGATGTGTTTGCTCTAAATGCTGGAGGATACCAGCTCACAGGAACTGCAATTGCCCACCCCTGCCTTAACATCACCTCAGATGCTGTGGAGAACGAGAAAGCTGTTTACCAGGAAGCTTTTAAGGATGTTTCTATATTTACAACAGAAAACAGATGACTACTGCAAAGAAAGCATAAAAAAGCAGAGGGTATTCTTCCATGTCTGTCTCATGTTTAATAATTTATCCTCACTACATGATGCTGCCTCTACCATCTTTTAACGCCAGCTTGATGTACCATGGGGATAGATACAGAAACATGTTTTAAGTTGGCAGCACATTTCTTGGTGCGGACTACTGCCACCTCTACCCCCCACACTTTGATCCTCTATGTTATTTCTTTTTAGTCAGCATCTTTCTTAGCTTTACTAGCATTAACAAGATCAAACATGTAATTTGTGGTTAGAAACTTATGATAAATCCCAGTTCATTATCTGTTTACCTGCTTCCCTCTGTGGATTCCTCTGCTTCTTCCCTGGGCTCCTCTGCTGGATCCTCCTCCTCAGTGCTTTCTGCTGGTTGGCTGTCGAAGCTGTTGTTGGGGGCATCGCTGCTGCTCTGATCCAGCCAATCGGCGACTTGTTTGAGCGCGCACTCGACGGTGGACACCAGCGTCTGAACCGCTTCCAGCTCTTGCGAGGAGGGATAGATGGTGGAGTGTTTCGCCATGACGTGGCGGTCATCGTTGCTGAAGGAACGGAAGGACCTCTGAAAACGAGGAAAAATAACTTCTTGGTTCATTCAAATATAATTTCAACAAAAAAAAAAAAAACAAGGTTTAATTTTAATAAATCAAATGGAAATATTTACGTTGTCTACATTTTGTTGGAGAAATTACTTCTTTGATTAAAAAGTAAAAAAAAAACAATGTGGAAGCAGATATTAGAGAATAAAAACTCCCTGAGGAGTTTTATCTGCTTTCTTTCTGCTGATGCAACATACAACATTTCTTTTTTACGAATAAAAAACCTCACTGATCCAGACACATGTGCACACAAAGCCATCAGGAATCCATCCTACCCCCATACTCACAGACTAGCTGCCCATCCTGATTCAATCAGACACTTTGGCCTTAGGAATTCATGTCAGCTCTTCAGTCTTTCTGATTTGCTCCTTCGTACTCCTCAGGAGGTATATGAAAGGAACGCACAAAAGGAGGACACCAGGTGCGAAGTATCAAATGAGGGTGTCTCAGGGGAGAGTTAATGACAGAAAATGGAGGGAGCTTGCCATGGAAGTAAAGGAGGAAGAGAATAGATAACAACAGGAACAGTCTTTAAAAAGGGATATGAACAAAAAGGGTTGTGAAAGTGGAGGGCCAAAGATGAAAGGAAAAGTAAAGAGATAAATAAAGTGGAGCAGCAGGTGCAACAGTGGCTTTGGGTTTTTTTGCATTCTGCAATAAATAGCAGCCAAAGTGCTGTATCTACATGTGGATTTACATAAAAAAAAACACTACAGGGAATGTAAACCTAAATTCATCACTTGGTGTATAACATCCCAGGTGGTTAATTGAGAAGAAAATAAATCGTTAGTGTTTGGTGTCTTATTGCTCCACCTCCAATGGTTCCATATAATAAGGATAACGATAAACCCTGGCAGATATAAATGTAAATCTATCACCATAGTTCTCTCTAGTGAACACCAGTATCAATGAGATATTTTAACGAGATATTTTAAAATAGAAAAACATATGTTCACCCAAAAAGTTATTTTTTTTCTGATAATAAATAAGTCTCGAATCTTATAAAATATAATAAAATTATTCACTGATGGCATGCTAAAAATTATCTAAGCCTTTTTCAATAAATAAAACTTCTTCATTGGTATATATTGGTATATTAAACATTCTGTAATGAGTTTTCAATCTTTGGCCTCCTTACATTCACTCTAAGCTTTAACACCCAGTCAGAGGAGACTTTTTTTTTTTTTTTTTTTTTTAAGGAAAAGATTCCTTTAAATAAAATCTGAATGAAATTTGATTAATTTTGGACTTTCTGATTTGACACTTTAAAGATATGAATAAACACCTACAACTGTGTCATTAAATTCAGTGCACAACTACAACATAGTCACATTCGATGCATTTTTATTATGAAACAAATGCAATGTAAACAATCAGAAAGATGAAAAGGGAAAATAATACTAGGTGATAACTATTCAAGTATTGGAAATAAACTTATTCTATAAAGGCATCCAAATCCAGTGCATTGGAAAAGGGATATAAGAAAATATGCCAGGTTATAACTGTGCTTTATTTAACCTTAAAAAACAGGTTTATATATGTATTCGTCAAAATTGAAAGAATACACTTAAAGTACAAGTTACTACAAAATAGAAGAGTCTGTGATGAGAATTTAAAAAAGTAAAACTAACATACCGGGTAATACAAAAATAATAGCTGTAGTAGAAAAGAGTCGCACTAAAAATTCACCTTAAAGTGTTTTGATCCTCACTTGTGTCATTTTTCTTTTCATCTCTTAGCTAATTTCTTGCCCTGTATATTTTCATTATTGTTCCACTGTTATACATAAATCAAAATAAAACCATACTTTCAAATTGATAAAGTCTTTTTAAATGACAGACAATGTTAAATATTCCTGCTAAGTGTGAGGTGCCCAGTTTGACGTGAGGATGGAGTACCTGGCAGGCTGCAGAGTAGACCTGCTTATCTCAGAGCTCCACATTTCCCTTTATTCTTTTCCATACACACATGAACTAAAGGAGACCGACACATCATTGCACATAACCAACACACACAAAGAGGAGAGATGACCTTTTCATCGTGGCGGATTTTAGGTAGATTGATAACAGCACTCAGACTCCAAGGGCCACACACACATTCCTGGAGACGAACTAAAAGCTATCCTTTTTAAATCTTAAAGCCAAAACTTCACTGAGATCTAAGCTTTTAAATGGCGCATCTAGGTACCAACAATGCAAGGACGTACACACACAGGCAAACCACACACGTTCCACACCGATCCTAATTGAAACGGTGACACACTCTTTCACTGAAGTGACTGAGATAAAGCTATTAACAGCAAGGAGAACAAACGCAGCACTATAATTGCAGACTCCTAGCCTGTTTGGTTCAGGATGTAGAGTGGTATTTGAAACATTTGGGAGAGTTTCCACCAAGGGTCAACTCTAACTCTCCAAAACTCTGCAGCCAATGACAGCAGAAGCATGGGGTGAATTAAATGGCCCTATAGACATATGTTGCTATTAAAATATATGAAACTGGATTTTATTGGACCTTAAGATCAGCTGCATCCTGTTTAACAAGCTAGTTAGCCTGACATTCCTTTTTTCTGATTTATTATAATTATTGTTTTTGTTATGTCAAATAAAAAAAAACTCTCATAAATTGAAAAGAATAGAGCAACAACTTTATGATAATATTTCTGAGGATCTTTTTTTTTTTTTATTGATACACATTCAAACAAACTGCATCCAACGTTTTTTCGCAATGCTGGGTTTGTCTTATACTTGTGTGCCTTCTCAAAGCTGTTTAACAGAGCAGTCATTGCAGATTTTATGAGCTGTGGCTAATGGGTGCTTCTGCAACCATAAACCAAGCTGAGAGGAGGGAGGGTGCCGGCAGATCTATGTATGTAAAGCCACACTCCTCAGCTGCGGGGTGGGCCATTGTTGGCCAGCTGCTGTGATGACCATGTAAATCAGTGCAGCTAAGTGGGACTCACTGACAAGAATCGACCCCGGGAGCCAGGGTGTGCAGAGATAACGCTGCTGAGAGTAGCAGAGCATCACAGATACACAGGTTATCCTATAGATTCATGGCCATGTTGTTTGAGTTAGACAACAGTATGTCTATTAAAGATGTATGGCTGTAAGATTTTTCTTTTACAGCATATTCCCTTGTTGCCTTGTCTTAAAAATGTGTGAATTAGGAAATAAATCAAGCATGAATAATACATCAGAGAGATTTTGATCCAGTTAGCCTGTAACAACTGGTGTCAAAATTAGATTGTTTTCAATTTGAGCAAATTAACCTGAACAGAACAGCAGCAACAATAATTAACTTCAGGTATTTTGCAGTTAGATTTAACTGAGCAGTCTTTGACTGTAAAACCTTGGATGCAGCCACACTGCAATAGAAAGCTTTGCCAAAAAATCAGGAATTACAACAACTGCATTGACTTTAAAACAGAATTATAGACGATCTGCAGATAGATGAAGTATGTCAAAGTAAACAACTAATTAAGTCAGGTAACTGGAAGAATGATGCTAAACTAAAATCAATAAACCGCTTAAGTTGTCTTCTTAGCCAAATTGATTTTAAGAACAACTTTGTCATCCAAATCAATATTCAGTTTAGTTTATTTGTTCCATGTCAATGAATAACCAATGTCACCATAAGATACTTTACAAGTTAAACCAGACAAACAGAAATCCAGTTCAGTCCAAATACTAATATTCCCTCCAATTCAAAATGCATTATACCATGTCAATTGAATCCTAAACTTGATATAATTTACTAAAATAAAGACTTTTATACCAAAATAATTTTTTAATCAATTGAGTCAGTGACATTGCATGTTTTCCTCCTACTGTTGAGGACCATGCATCCAACTTAATATAAACAGGAAAAGGTCCAGCAGAAGTATAGCGAATCATTGCCATTTGTTGTGAGCAGCTTTAGGTCAAGATCGCAGGAGGAAAAAAAAAGTAAAAAATAACTGTGCTAAGGGTATGAGGCATCTAATGCTTCTGAAAATAGAAGCATTAGATCCATCACTAGTGCCTTACATTGATTTTTACATCTTAAAACTTTCTGTTCCAGTAAAAACACATTTTTACTACCACTTTTAGTTGGTTTAATAATCTAATTACGGTAACATTTTCTGTGATTGATTTTCAGGAGTAATTTAACCATCATCTAGTTTAGTTATGAGGATATACATAGTAGTGTTGCGGCGATGCCATTTTTTGGCCCCGATTCCGATACCCGATACCTGGCTGTGCAGTATCGGCCGATACCGATACCATAATAATGTAAAATAATTGCCATCATGGCTTTGTCAAGCTGCTGCCTACCTTTGTGAAGCAGGAAAAAATCTAATACAAAGTGAATCCAGAAGAACTTTTTATTGCCTACCAGGAGTGGGTGACAATAGTTGAATAAACTTATGGCTCTCAAAATGGTATCGGTGCCCTATTTGTTGGTACTTGCCGATACCGATACCACCATTTTAGGGCAGTATCGGGGTCTGTCCGATACTGGTATCGGTATCGGTGCAACACTAATACATAGTAAGATTGAATCGAACAGGCAACTATAATAATGGTGTGAAATGGTGAATATATCAAAAGTATATCATAGAAAACATTGCATTCCAAAGACTACTTTTGCGTTATTAACACTGAAATGAGATACAGTTGCTCATAAATAATCACACTCAAGTTTAATCAACAGATACTGGATCACACCTAGAATTAATACATGAGGGAGTCTTCATGCAAGAACAGCCCATTTAAGGTTGTATCCCAGCATTTTAGATACATTTCTGTCCAGACTTTGACAAGGACGCTTCAACAACTTTCATATTATCATATTGATGTTGCCTTTTTTTTTTTTTTTTTTAACCATTTGATGGGGGACTTGTTGGTGAGTTTTTGAGTCCTGCTTTTTCTTGCTGAATCATGGAGACACATATTCACTGGGGGGGAAGTTAGACCTCCAG